TTTGAATCAGTACAACCTTATGATTTAAAACAGATAAATTACATCCCTCCATTCTACCTACTTGAAGAGTCTAGAGGCAGTAACACCCCACTGGATCAAGCTAAGATGTATATCTTAATGCCAAAATCCCACTCCCCACTGAAAGCAACCAGGAATCCTTAGATAAGTGGTCGACTTCAGGTCTGGGTCAGAGATATTACAAGGGTCGTCTAGAATATTTTGTTATGGCAGAAGCAAGGAAGACTAATGATAACATGTCAAAAGAACCTAGGGGCCAACCCACTAGCCACAGATGAGAGAATGCGAGCACTGAAGAGAATTATAAATAGTACTGGATTTTAATACAAGGAGCCAAAAACAAATGATCTATGAATCAACAGGAATACTAAAAATGTTGGGAAGGGGCTGGGGAGAGAAAACCCTTCTATAAAGAAGAATGCTAAGTAGTACATGTAGAGGGAAGGACAGATTTGAAATTCACCCTTTTAGGTGTCTGGGTGGCTCAGTCGGTGAAGCGTCTGCCTTCGGCTCAGGTCATGATCTCAGGGTCCTGGGATCGAGCCCTGCACTGGGCTCCTTGCTCCGCGGGGAGCCTGCTTCTCCCTCTCCTCCCCACTCTCGCTCTCTGTCACTATCTCTGTCTGTCTCTCTCTCAAACAGCTAAAATCTTTAAAAAATAACAAAATAAAATTCACCCTTTTATAAATACCAGTGTAGTAACCGATTCAGGTGAGGATTTTCAAGGAAGCTAAAAGCACTGGGTGAGAAGTTCGTGGGGGAATCAGGAACTCACCAGGCCTCAAAGCACCACTGCACCGACAAGCTGATCTCCAAAGGGAAAAGGACTGTATTTACAGCAGAGGGACTTAAATCTAAGTGACCAAAGGCAGTATGTCAGGGGCTCTCTGACATTATGTAACTCTAGATATGCCACAGTGAAAAACACACATCACCAACCCATGTGGTATTTTTGCCAAAAATGTCTTGTTTTCTGGTTTTGTCACCTAACAATCACGCTTAACATGATTGGAAATGTGAACGTGGATTGTCTACCTGATTATTTTTCAAGTAATACTAAGTTTCTTAGATGTTCTATAGTATCATGGCTGTGCAGGAGAACGTCCTTACCCTTAAGTAACATACACCCTCAAAGAGTTGAGAGATCAGATGTTGGGATTTCTGCAATTTACTTTTAAAGACTTAAAAATATTACATGTATTTTTATATGTGATATCTCCATTTCAGACATACCATACGTATATATGAGTAAGAAAATCGAGCACGGTGTTCACCAACGGTGAATCTAGGCCAAGGGTTCACATGTCTTCTTTGCACTACTCTCAAATTTTTCTACAGCTTGGAAACATTTCACAAGAAAATCCTGGGTACCTAATGCGCCTAGTAGTGCCTAGCACGGGGTCGGCGCTCGGTAAACCAAAGTGGCAGCCAAAGTGAGACCATCATCAACACTGTTTTATGGCTCGAGGTCTCATACGGTTCCATTTCATAATTGTGACTGTGGTCTGGGGAAAGGCAGAGAAGGAAGCACTAAATAAGTAAGCCACAGTTTTCTCTGAGTCATCTGTGACAAAAAGGAAAAATAAAGAACCCACTTAGTCTCTTAGCTGCTTCCCAACTGATGCAATGGGGCTCAGGGGCCATGAGCTTCTTTCGCCAGTGGTGGATTACTCTGTAAGCCCTCAAAAGCACTGGGACACTGAAATTACCAATTCTACAAATTTCCCCGAAGACAATTTTGGAGCAGAGACAAAAGCAGCATGAATCCAGGCAGCTCAATCTGAGAGGCTGCTCCATGGTTCCCTGAGGGGGGTTTTAGATCATCCACTGGAGCCATGATCCCTCCTCAGCCTGTCCTTAGGTGAATGAGTTCCCCTCAAACAGAAATGGTGCCTCTTCCCTCCTTGGGAGGAACGGAACCTGATCCCAGCACAGAGAGGGGTCTGTGCTCCTGGGCAGTCTCCCCTCAGCACAGCTGGGAGACTGAGGACCGCTGTCTTGGAGGTTGGTGTTTTTAATATGATAACGTCCACACGTCTCTGCAAAGTAGGAATTGATGTTTTATTAATGGTTTTTAATTAAAGTTTAATCTCAAAGCATAGCTGTTCTGGAGTTATTCTGATAAAGGCTTTGTGATTTCCCCCTCTCCCCCAGTGACAGGAAGGAGAAAGGGAGAGGTTGAGGCATGGCTTAAAGATGGGACTTGGGATTTGTTGTTGCACATGTAGGTAATCCTCATAAAGCAGCCCAGGGTACACAGAGCATCCTGGAGGAAACACTCAGAGCTGCTCCTGGACCAAATCCTAGCATTCACGTGGACTCCTGAGTTTTCACGCTGAGTTTCAACAGTGGCGGCACCCCCCTGTCTAATAACCCCCTGCCACTGAACCAGCCTTCCTGCCCTGCCTCTGCATCTCAGATCAGGCACTGACCACATCACTACGCCTTGAGAGTCTAGGTTATATTTTCTCCAACCCGTTGGAGTGCACGTCTAGAACTCTGGAGAGGTGTCCTAGGGCAGGCTGCCGGTTTCTGCGTTGCTTGTGCTATAGGGTCCTTTGTCAAGACATTTTTTCTTCTGTGATTTAATCCAAATGTGGCAGCCACATTCACTGAAAACCTACAGTCTGCTGGACATCATTCCAATTTTTTTTTAAGATTTTATTTTTAAGTAATTTCTATGTCTAACGTGGGGCTCGAACTTACAACCCTGAGATCAAGAGTCACATGCTCTATCGACTGAGCCAGCCAGGTGCCAGCATTCCAAATTCTTTATATACCATTCCTTTTAGTGAGCGTAACAACCTATCAGATGGCCACTATTTGTATCTGCATGTGAGAGGCAAGGAAACGGAGGCACGGAGCAGGTAAGTAGCTTGTCGGAGGTGTGCAGCTCCAGAGCTCGCCTTCTGTAGCAGCGCATCCTTGTACCTGCTGGAGGAGGTGTTGTGCATCTCTGAAAACGGCAGAGCCATCCAGGGAAAGGGCCGGCTGCAGGTGAAGCCCGGATCGGATGCCCACCCCTCTGTTGGAGGTCGGATGAGAATGGGTTCACAGGGAGCAAGGCACTTGGGTTGCCTGATGAGGCTGATCCAGAGGAGGAATGTGCCGCCAGAGGACAGAAGTTCACTGCAAGGCAGGAAGGTGGGGGGCCAAGGTGACAGAGGCTGGGTTTCCACTGCAGTTACTATCTAGAAAAGCAGAGTCTGCAGGGACGATGTCCTGCAGAGTCACTGCGATGATGAATTTAAAGGGTGGTCACGAAGGGTCCACCACGTAGGTGGGTTGTGTAAAAGTTCCAGCTGTAAGATGGGATTTGGGGAAAGGCGAATTGGGGGACAGGATGAGCAGAGGGTGGCGCATTTTCCCCTTTCTCCTTAGGGGACTTTGCAGCTGAGGATGTGGGTCTGGACCCCAGCGGGGGCCATCACTCCAGGTCCGTGAACTTGCTTATGTGAAACAAGAGTGCTAGGTGGGATGGCCACGGAAGAGGCTCTGCCTTGAGGTTCTAAGGCCCACCCAGGTCAAGTGGAGATAGGGTCCTCACATGGCTGACAATGACAGTGCTCTGCCCATTCCTTCCCAACCCTTTATACCATCACTGTGCCCCTCCACCTTTTGTCTGCATGCGCAGCCAACACTTCCCGAGAATTTCCTCCCCCAATCCTCCCTCTGCATCCCAGCCCTAACCATGCCGGCAGCTCCCTTCCCTGATCAGGGGCAAGACTGATGCATGACCTGCCCTGCAGAGTTCTCCTGCAGAGCAGGTCGCAGCCCCCTTTGCTGGACATGGCCTGAAGTTGCACCTTGGCTTCCTGCCCTTCCTTGTCCTGCCCCCACCTCCCTTCCCAGGCTCCCTGGGGAAAACTTCCTTCATCCATCACGTACACCCAAATCTCTACCTCACAGTCTGATTCCAAAGAAATAACTAAAGATGCCCCCATGAAGCCAGTGACAGCATGGCTGAAAGGAAAACTGAAATACAGCCATCGAAAAGTGTTTTCTAGGTAAGTCCTAGAACCAGCAAGTTCTGTCCTCCCATAAATAAGATAACTGCTTTCCAAGGAGTTCCTTGGAAAATGCAGCGGGAGCCTGGGAGGGAACACCCAAGTTGGCTTGGAGCAGTCAGGGAAAGCTTCCTGGAAGAAGCAGCATGTGAGCTAAGACTTGAAGATGAATGGAGCTTGTCTCACAGACATGAAGGGAGAGGCCACAGCAGTAGGAGAAACAGCTCAGGCAAGGACAGAGGGTGGGAAACATGATGTGTTCTAGGAGCTACACGTGGCTCTGGAGTGTCGGAGTCTCCATGGTAAGAGCCATGCTGGGAGGTAAACTGAATGAAACCCACTCGTCAGAACCTTGTGGGGGTGGGGTGTGGGATGGGAGGGGGGAGAGGAAATGGAGGATTCCAGGCTCATTTCAGATCTTTATTTTGATCTACTGGATGCAGTTCACTGACATGAGGAACACAGAACGAGCAATCAGTATGGAAGGGGAGACTGGTTCATTTTTGGATACTTTGAGCTGCCTGTCGGACATCCGGGTGAGCACTCGGTTCTGGGTGCATCCAATGCCTGTGCTACTTAATTTACTTTTTTTTTTTTTTTTTTTTTTTTTAATTTTAACTCCTGCAGAATCCGGAGTGGTCTGACTCCCAGATTCAATGTGCTTAAACGACACAATACACAATGCCTGTCTGGGAGGCCCTGGTATGGTTAAACACTGGACACAGGAGGGGCTATAAAGTGAGAAGAGGGATGGGGGGTGTGGAAGGGGCAAATCTGAGGGCGTGTCTGCGTCTACGGGGATAGCGGCCCGTGGAGTTTTGCAGTGCCGTCCATTAAAGACCCTGGCAAAGAGGCGGCTACAGAGGAGGACATTAAAGATGCAGGGAGAAAGAAAACCGCATCACTGACGGGTGTGGCCCCGGGACAGGTTCAGCATGGCCTGACCCCGAGGAAGCACCCCCCGCCCCCACTCACCGTCCTCCTCTGTTTGCACCACCAGCTCCTCGCTCTCCATCCGGCCCTCGGGGTTAGACAGCAGCAGCCGCAGCCGGATGGTCATGAAGGGGCGCAGGCCCCGCAGGGTGTAGTGGGAAGAGGTCTGAATGACCTCTTCGGCCTCGTACTGCTGCTGGTTGAACACGTACTGGTAATGCACGGTGAGATTGTAGCTGTGACAGCGGGTCACCGCGTAGCCGAACGGTTCCCACTGCAGGGTCAGCTGCCGAGCGCGGATGTCCACAATCTCCACATTCTGCGGGCCGTGCACGGGGTCTGCAAGACACACACGCAAGACACGGGGGCTTTGAGGACTTTCCGGAAGCGGGGGGGGGGTGTGTTCTGCTAAAACAGGGGGGACCAGCCCTCCAAACTTAGCTCAGCCACAGCCTTCATGACTATTGCCACAGAGAATACAATTTAATTCACATTTTTCTGTAAATCAAACTCTTTTCTTCTTATTTAAATGCATGCATCTAAAAGAAAACCTAACTATATAAAGGGAAAACCCGAATCACTTGCCATACGTAAATGTTAACTATTAAAAAAACGCAAAATTGTTAAATTCTTAAAGGTTCATCAGGGTACCCCGGGAAACCACCCTGAGTACCACCAACACACACACACACAACACTCCGGGGATATACGAATTGAGATGGTTGCTGGAGTTCTGACCTGCCTGACATTTAATCCAGCCACATCCTCTCCCCTTGGGAAATCAGCCCCCTCACTCTCGTTAACGGCACGGAGGTGCACAGGCTGCAACTCCAGCCACAGGCTCAGGACGCAGTGCTCGGTCCGTCCACACGGTCACAGGCGCCACTGACTACACCTTGCAATTTCCCCTCCTGCCACTGACAACACAGCTCAGTCAGTTAAGCATCTGACTCTTGATTTCAGCTCAGTTCATGATCTCAGGGCTGTGAGATTGAGCCCTGCGTTGGGCTCCGTGCTCAGAGTGGAGCCAGCTTGTGATTCTCTGACCCCCCCCGTCCCCGCCCATGCCCCTGATCATATACTCTCTTTCTCTAAATCAATCAATCTTTAAAAGCAGATATGGTCATGCTTTCACACTCTACTGCTGTGCCAACCTTTCCCACGTGGTCCCAGACCCCCATATATAACACTGGCTGTCTTATTTTACTACCAATCTTCTGTTTATACTTCATATAAAATAGATGCTTTTGTACAAAACAGATTATAACAAACCAAACACACACACACACACACAATCCCCGCATGTGAAGTCATTCTGTAAAGCTTAGGCATTTCTTTTTTTTTTTTTTAAGATTTTTATTTATTTATTTAACAGAGATAGAGAGAGAGCACAAGTAGGCAGAGCGGCAGAGAGAGGGAGAGGGAGAAGCAGGCTCTCCCCCGATGCGGGGCTTGATCCCAGGACCCTGGGATCATGACCTGAGCCGAAGGCAGCCGCCTCACCGAATGAGCCACTCAGGTGCCCCGCTTAGGCATTTCTTATAATAGAAGCATAACTTCTTTTGTGATCAGCATCCCCATAAGTTCTTGTGTTGACTATTTTAGCTGGAAGTACTTAAGCACAGGCTAAAGATTAAATCAGTATTTTCCCTCTATACTACCTATTGGACTTGACCAAGTTCTGTCATTTCTTTGGGTTCATCTTTTATTTCACCTATAAAACGGGGAATAACAGTAATACTAACCTCACCAGTGGGGGGTTAAATGAAATGCTGTTTGCAGAGCAGTTAGAATTGTACCTTGAACTTAGTAAGTACTCAAATATATGATGGTTTTTCTTTTGCAGCAATAGGAATAGTGATACAAATAAGGTTTCATATGCTGTCTCTACTCTGAAAGTCTTCTAAGTGGCAGTGCTGCGAAGCATCCTTATGCAAAATGACGGATCCTATCACCCTAAGAGCATTTGGGGGTATTTGAATTTAGGGGCATTCGCATTCTGTCGCCTAAGAGCATTTAGGGGTAAGGCCGCCCCTGTGCCAATGTAGCAGTAGGAAAGAGGGAGGGACTTGATGCGAACAGAGTTCCCTGACCTGCCCCTATAGGGAAAAACATCCTGTGAACTGTGTCAGAGCCTTACCAAGGAACACACTTCCAAGCAGTCTTCTTTTGAGCAGGATGCCCAGAAATGTCAGGGAGCCTGGCCAAACCAGCCCAGACCTGCTCCCGTGCTGTTGGAGTCAGCGAGCAGCCTGGCTCTGGATCGACTGAGGAGTTCACGGTCACTTGTACAGCCCAGTTATTCATGTTCACAGGTCCTTTGTGTAAAAGAGAGCCAGCGTTCCAAAAGCAAATGGGTGACTTTGAAAATGTGACATTGAACAGGCTCTTGCTGAGGGTGCATTGTGCTGAGCCCACACAGGATAAGGTGAAAAGTGTGGTCCCTGTAGTGGGGGCGGGGAGAGGTTAGGATGTGGTGTGGCCGTTTGGTCCTGACGGCATGAGGACAAATGTACAAGTCCAGGGAGAGCAAGAAGCCGCTTGCCTGGGAAGTCTGCGCCTCTCCACTGGCCTCGCCCAGCTGGAGCCTTTCAGCAGGTCCAGACACCAGAACTCTCCCAGCCCTGCTCAGGACCTCACGACACGCCTCCTCCGGGGGTGCCTTCAAAACGGACGCCACACCCCAATAAGATCATCACTCCTCAGGCTCTCTCACCTCATCTCCTTAGAGAGTGAGAATGGCAACATGTAAGACCCTTTTAAATCCAAGAGTTGTCCATCGTGTTAAACATCTTAACAAGTGCCAAGCCCATGTTAAATATTTTCTGGGGGATTTCCAATGTGCCCTCAAAGCACAAATGAAACAATAAAAACAAAACACTGTTGATAGCCAGCTGCACGGTGTTGGGTTCTATCACTGCATCATCTTGTGACCCTGTGAGGGAGGGACGGACTGCCAGCCCCACTTTACAGATGAATAAACTGAGGCCAGAGAGGGCCAGGAACTTGTGTAGAGTAGCAAGACCAGCAAGTGGCAAAGTGGAGTTTTTGAACTTCTATCTACCTGATTACATGCCTAGTGTGCAAAGTCAGAACCCATGCCTGACCAGAGGGGTCTGGAGAGAGTCCGGGCAGGTGCTGCGCATGCCCTAGAGGGAAGCGGAGCCGGCCTCTCCCACCCCCTCTCCTGCGCTCTGCCTGCCACCCTGCCCCACCCTGCTGGAGCTGGGCCATACCCTCTCCTGCTTTCACTCCTGTTCACTTTGTCTCCTCTCTGAAGATGTCCTTGCTGAGTCCCTGGGGAGAGCTCAGTGGCTCTTTCTTTCTCCTCTTGTTCACTGTTTCTTTATGTATTCGTTTTCTGCAGTCGGCAGCTTTTCAAAAGTTGGCCTTGGCCGCTAGAATGTAAGCCCTGTGTGTCAGAGCAGGTGCGCTGTCTGCTCATCCCAGGACCCGCATGCAGCCCAGAGACATGCACGGGAGGGCCCCAGGGAGTATCAAGCCAACGGAAAGATGGCCTGTTTTGTAGACCTCACCACCATCTGTGAGGAAAGCATCACTAGTCTCGTCAGAGAGGAAGGCAGAGCTCTGTGGGCGGTGCCACATTGTGAGTGCGCGGCTGAGATCTAAGTCCCCCAGGGTCCAGTGCCCCCATGTTTGCGCTGCGCCATGATAGCACGGGGCACGGAGTCAGCACGAACCTGTGGCCATCTGCAGAGGATGCTGGGAGGAGGCCGAGAACTGAGGCAGAAATGCTTGCCCCTCAGGAGCCAGTGGTCCGCTGGAGAGGGTGATGCGGGACTCCACCACACTTAGTGCTCAGCTGACCACTGGCCTGTCTTCCCACTGCTGGTCTCAGCTTCTCCAGAATTCCCCCCACAGCTCACCTGCGCAGCTGTGCACTCAAAACACCTTTCTGCTCTTCTTAAAGGAGGTAGCAGGCAGAGGCACCTTTTCCAAGAGGAGAAGGGATGGTGCAAGCCCGTCACGGAGCAGAGACTCCCTCCCAGAGTGGGAAGGTCAGGGCACTGGGAATGTTACTTGCTTCCTCTGAAGCCCATGCCTCTGTCCTCAGGCCACAGGGAGCAGTGGAGCCTGGTGGAGTGCAGCCTGAAGCCAGACTCTGGCACTCACTAGCTGTGCGACCTTGGGCAAGGGCACTTCATCTCTGAGCCTCCATTTCCTCTTCTATAAAGTGGAAATTATTGCACTAATCTCAGAGGGCTGTTAATGAGTATAAAATGAGCTGTAAAGGGAGAGAGAAAATTGCCTCTGTCTAACAGTGGGCATTCCTCTTAGAGAAAATGGCCTTTCTTGGAGAAATGCCTTAAGAAGTTTATTTGGAGCATAAGATGCATCCCCAGGGCCCTGGGATCAGTTGTGCTCAGCCTTCAGAGGAAGAGAAAAAGGAATCCACTTGTCGGCTGGGATTGAACAGGAGAAGATGAGGGCGAACGAGGTGGCAGAATGTTGCCGGGAGCCCAGTGTGCCTGTTCTCTGTGTGACCCCGAGATCTTCAACAGGGTCCTCAAAATAACACAAAAGGGTTTGGACCTCCTGGGGATTCTAGAAAGGACTGAGATCTGCATGCCTCCCTTGGGCCACTGAAATACCACCTGAGAACACAGGGACCAGAGGCCGAAGGTACTTGGGAAATACGGCCACGTGTTACTGATAACCTTGAGGCATGACCCTGGGGGTTTCCGAGAGTACAAAAATTAAGAAGATCAAGGAAGGCTCAGTTCCTATGCAAAAGGCAAGACTTCGGGTAGAGCTGTGGGTTAGACAGGTGTGGATGAAAGTGTTTGAAAGTTTGAGAACTCTCACCCCAGAAAGGGAAAGACAGTGGCTACTGATGACATAGTAACTCTGGGCTAGGCACTTGCATGCTGAACAGAATTCTCTGGCATAGAAAATCAAGGCCAACGAAGGGACATGACTGACCCAGAGCCACACAGCCAAGTCCTCAGCTCTGGGCTCCCACGGCACTCTGCACAGGTGTCCAGCCCACTCAGCATTTGTCACGCTTTCTAGGAACTGCTTGTTCATTTATCTGTCACTCCTCCCAGGCTGCCAGGGACCACATTCTGTTTGTCCAGCAAGCCCCAACACATGGTGCAGGGTCCTTCGAGGGGCCAGTTCATGTCTATTAAACCGTGATGAACAGATGGTGACTGTTCTTAGGAACTGAGCTCGGACCCTTGACTCTACAATCCCAGTTTAGTCCCAGCCACAATGTCACAGAGTCTTTATGGTGAACATATTTATTTTTGCATTCAAGCAAAAAGAGTGTCCTGAAATCCACAAAATGAAAACTAGTTTTCAAAATGTGTCATGGA